ATAAAGGGGTTTTTTTTTTAAGGTCCCTGGTATTATGATTTTATAGCATAAAGGGCACCAAATATTTTCATAATGTCTAATGTCCCTCAACAATATTTTCATAATATCTAAGGTCCCTCAACCTTGATCCAGAGAAATTTCAGTCCAGAGAAATTTCAGTCCAGAGAAAATTGGTCCAGAGAAATTTGGTCCAGAGAACTTTCAGTGCAGAGAAAATTGGTCAGATAAATTCTAGCTCAGAGAAATTTCTCTAGACTAAATTTCTCTGGATGAGTTTCTCTACTTTTCTTCTCACTCACATCCAAATCATTGTGATTCATTAGGTAAGCAACATTGTTCAACTGAATTCAACTGGAAAAATTTCACATTGTAATATGTAAGCAACATTAGAATGGGATAACAATGGCAACTTACCAGAACCAGAGAAACTCTTGAAAAATCTGAGTATTTCTCTAGTTTGTTATTGAAATATCAATTGAGAATTTCTTTGGTTTATTAAAAATAACAATTGAGAATTTCTCTGGTTTGTAATATTTTTTGAAAAATTTCTGCAGGTCCAGAGAAAATCTATCCAGAGAAATTTCAACCCAGAGAAATTTCCATCCAGAGAAATTTCAAACCAGAGAAATTTGAAATTTCTCTGATTTGTTCAATTTTTTTGATTTTCTATGTTTTGCAAATGTCTCATCCAATTCCCAAAAATGGTGCAAATCAGAGTATTTTCTGGTGATTTAAACACTGAAATATCTTGTCAATAATTGCCTTAAATCACATGTGGTTTTTGTTTTGGGGGAATAAAATGAGCAACTTTGTAAAGAAATTTTAATCAACGGAAAAAAAAAAGAAAAAAGAATTCAAATGAATTAGAACACTGAGAGAAGAAATCTATGGGTTATAAAATGAATTCAATTCTCAACATGACATCATTACACCTTTATACATACTAAAGATTCAAAAAACATGATTTCCAAACCAGAGAAAATTCACAGAGAAAATGCCAAATTTCTCTGGACAACACTTGAGGACTAGTTCAATCCAAACCAGAGAATTTCTCTGGATCAACCCAGAGAAAATTCAGTTCAAACCAGAGAATTTCTCTGGATCAACCTAGAGAAAATTCAGTCCAATTCACTAATATCTTGATTAGCAGCTACCACAGTAAAGATAAAACAAAAAAATCCACACAGGAATTAATTACCTGAAGAATCAGCTTCTTCCGTGGACGAGAGGCATCAGGAGAATGAGAATATTTCATAGAAGAAGATCCACCCAAAGAAGCACCAACCGACATGGACTTGGTATGTATTGTACGCGTGACACCACCAACCTTAAGCTTTACTTTTTTTACTTTATTGTCACTTGCCGCACCATCTGAAGCCACTTCTGATTGCCCGGAAGGACCAGAAGTGTAAGTATCACTTATCCTCCTGCTTATTTGGGCATCTATAGTTCTAGATTGCAATTCAAGACCTTTCACCTTGCTCACACTTTTCCAGTTAGCTGGAGCAAGGACACCTTCACTCCACCTTTTCGAATCAATCCCACTATGTTCCCATTCACTATTGCTCTTGATGTGAGCTTCATCGGATCCTCTACATCCTGCATCTTCATTGCTGATCTTCAAGGTTGTTTCCCCTTCAACAAGATTAGTGGCTGAAGCCTTTGAGCTGCATTGGTTCAAATTAAGTTCTTTTTTCCAATAATTTGTACCATGACCATCATTGTCATCACTTGATATTCTACTGACATCATCTGACGGTGACGTAGATGACAACGATGAATTATCACGATAATCTGGCAAAGGCTGAGAATCATTTCGAGGACGTCGTGATGAATTGCTCATCTTCTTCCTGGCAGTTCTGCCCATTTCACTGAACCCAAATCCTCCCAAACTTTCCATAGTGGCTGAAAAGGTTGAGCCACAAGCTTGGTAAGGCTATCTATTCATAGAGTTGATGGGTAAATGAAGTTAAAAATAAAAAAATTAAAAAAAAATTAAAAAAACAACGCGGTAAGTAACTATATTAATGGAATCACACATTAATACTCAAAAGCCTCAAACAATTTATACAAGCATTGTAAAACAAAGCAAATCAGATTCAGCATTCTGACAAATATATGGGGAGAGAACCACTTAACATTACTCAGTTTTGCCCATGAGAGTTTTTTTTTAAGAAGAAACTATGCATATATTCTTTATAAAAATAGAGGAAAGAATAAACAAAGGTTAATTCCAATGATATTGGAAAGCATAAAAACAACAACCAACAAGTGATATACAAGAAAATACACAGAAATCAGAAAGGAACACCAAAATCCCATTTGAAAATGGAACCCAATCGGCATCAACTTCATCTGGATCAAATATCTGGCTTCAATATTAGCCTTACTCGATGGGAACGTCATCTGGATCAAACATCCACCACCAACCTTCACCAAATATGCTGCCTCCATATCAGCTACCACGAACCAATGGATTACATATATCCCTATTCCTAGCAGCTTCAGAAACTCGTGGATCGCCTGATCTTCAAGAACCCAGATCAAATTACAATCAGGTTCGGGAATCCCCTGCTGAGAGTGCCAGTTCACGAGAAACCTGGCCCATTGCCGATGTTATTATGGCAAAAAAGCTAGAGAACGAGAGAGCAGAGAATGATCTTCCCGATTCGTCAGTCACTCGTCGGTTTTCTCATTCAGATAACATTTCTCTTCAGGACATAGCAAGAGAAAGAGTTGATCTAATTTCTGAAAAGATGCATCAGCTTCCTGAAACAAAAATACAAAAAAATCTAAAAATTTAGTACATTTTTTGTATTTTGTGTATTTATTAATTTTTAAAAATATTTTATCACAAATATTTTACATTTTAGATATATCTAACTAAGGTATATCTAAAAAAATAAAAAAATTGCTTAAAATTTTTAAAATATTCACTAAAAATAAAAAAATTCAATTTCAAAAAAATTAAATTCAAAAAATTAAAACCGAACACATTGAATCATTTTAGAAACTTGCTAATGTCATACATTTGGGAAAGAAAAACAAGAGAGAATTTATCTAGGTGATAGAACGAAACTTTAAAAAAAATAAAAATTGTTAACAGCATTTTTTTAATAATTATTTAAATTCAAAAAACAAAAGCTTTTAACCAAATTTCACCATTGGGAAGCCAACTTTAGTTTTTTTTTTTTTGGGGTTAAAATCTACACAAAAAAAGAGAAGAAGATAAAATAGGTTAAAATAGTCAATACGATAAAATATCACATTAAATTCATAATTATTTTATTTTTTTTCTCACAAATATCACATTTAATTACAAAAAAAAATCTAACTATATTTCCAAATATAAATATTTTAGTATACAAAAATAACAAAAAATTAGCCTATTAAAATAGTCAACTTCCCAAACGAGCCCAGATGTTATCGATTCATTAGCATAGTGAATGAAAAAATGAAATATATTATACTTTCAGGTTAGATTTCTCTCATGTTTAAATTTAAATTTGAAAAAATTTGAGGGACTCGTGAGACTCGCGTCTTATTTTGATAATCATAATTGTTTATTTTGTAAGATCTACGTGTATATAATTCATGAAAATAATTAGGTCAATCAAATAATTGTAATATTTATTTTATTTTATTGTATTTGTCTAACAAAAAAAAAATGATTTATTTTTTAAAATATACTTGTCACCCATTTTATTGGAGGCAAACGTAATAAAATAAAAATATTATAATTATTGAATCAATCAATTTTTTTTCAAAATATATTAAAATCTTATAAAATAAATAATTTAAATCAATCGAACGAATCGTAGGCTCCACACACTTCAAATTCTTACATATTTAAATTTGAATTTGAAATATGTAAAACCCTATACATTTTTGTGATAGAAAAAGGGGCTGACTGGTTATCTCCCATTAAAGGTACACATGCTCTCATTAATACATCATTTAACATAAAAAGTTGAATATCACGATACAAAATATTACAAGAATCATTTAAAGGGTTGTCATTAAATTTAATAAATCTGTAAAAAAAAAAATTAAAAACATATAAATATAAATAATTAATTTAAAATGCAGTGATTTTTTATATATATAAATCCCATATTTTTAACATTTGATTAATTAAAAAAATGGTTATCTCCCATTAAAGGTGCACATGCTCTCATTAATACATCATTTAACATAAAAAGTTGAATATCACGATGCAAAATATTACAAGAATCATTTAAAGGGTTGTCATTAAATTTAATAAATCTGTAAAAAAAATAATTAAAAACATATAAATATAAATAATTAATTTAAAATGCAGTGATTTTTTATATATATAAATCCCATATTTTTAACATTTGATTAATTAAAAAAATAGTTTGACATATTAGAAATTATTTGGAGAAATTACCAGACAGTGATACTTTAAAAAAATTATTACAATTTTGTGATAAATATTATGATTTTTAATAATTAATATTTATAAAATTTACTATTCATTTGTAATTATTTTGTAGATTGTAAACTAGGATTGTTTTGGATATGACGCAAAAAATTAATTTTTTTACTTAGTACAAAAATATATTAAAAAAAGAAAAATTAGTAAAATATTCATTTCTAACTTTGTATAGTAAGATAAGGTTCAAGATGTTTTTTATATTAGCTAAGTCTTTCAATGAAATTTTTCTGTGAAATCAAATTAATTTATATGTAAAAATTGAAATTTCTTTGAGTCGAATGAAATATTATATATTATTTGAGGGATTTTAACTACTATAAAAATATTATATATTATTTATTTTATAAAATATTAATATCAAGGATCTTAAATTTTTTTTTAAAAAGATGATGTAATCAAAATAAGTCTATAAATCAATAATTTAAGATTTTTAAATATTGTAAAAAAAAAAAAAACCTAAATTGAAAATTTCTCAAATTATTTTGTTATTATTATTTATTTTTAAATGGGGACAACAACGCCTTCTCCAGTCGGGCCCAAACCTCCTCTTGCTCCAATTGATTGAGTTTTTTTTTTGACAATCCCACAGTTTCTCTCTCGCACACAACCCCACCACTCTCTCTCTCTCCTTAGGCCATTTTCAATTACAATTCAAGCGAGAAGGATCTTGTGAGTCTCTCTCTCTTCTCTTCTCGCTGTGTCTGTCCATATATATACGCACATTTGTATGTATATATAGATTTGAGAAGGCACGTATATAATTTATTGTCTCTCTATACTTTGTTTCTGAAGCACAATTTTAGGCGAGACTCGGATCGTGTACCTGTTCACACCTCGATTGCTGTTCTTCGATTCGTTTTGAATTTTGAAGGTTTCGATTTCACCTTCGAATTTCGAAGTAAACGAGTCTGGCAGTCAACTACTTTGGATTCGAAATTGTGCTGTTAGGACTTGATGATTCTTCAATTTCAAGTTACTACTTAGGTTTAATATTGATTTCTCGGAAGTGAGGATTTTTAGTCTGAGCTTCCGGATTGTTTGATTTTTTTGTTTTTTTCAAGTGTTTTTGATAGTTTTGGAGCATGATAGAGAGAGAGTTTAATTGGTGATAGTTTGTGAGTATATATAAATTGGTCCGCCATGTCGAAGGTGGTTTATGAGGGGTGGATGGTTCGATATGGGCGGAGGAAGATCGGACGGTCCTTTATTCATATGAGGTACTTTGTGCTCGAGACTCGATTGCTTGCTTATTACAAAAGGAAGCCTCAGGATAACGTGGTAAGGGTTTGATTTTGAATTTTGTTGTAAATTAGACTACCTTTGAAGGAAATTTATGGGTTTGGATTTTATTGCAACTATTCTTTTGGAAAAGAAATCAAAAGAATCTTATTGAAAAGCATCTAGTAATGCTCAGTTGATTGATTATATATGTATATTTTTTTATATTGTAAGATTTTGAGACCTCAATTGCATAATTGATTCTTAATTTGTTTTTTTGTGTTTAATTTAGGTTCCAATCAAGACCTTTCTCATAGATGGTAATTGTCGGGTGGAAGATCGAGGCTTGAAGACTCATCATGGACATGTAAGTTGCTGCCTCTTTTTGAAATTGAAGTTAAATTTGGCACCACAAGCCTTGTATGCCAAATGATATGTGGTTGGTTTCTCAACATTGAATTTAGGGCTTAAGTTCCCTTGCTGTCTTGCTTATAATGAAAAAAAAAAAAAAAAAGACGAAAAAGTGAAGATATATAATTTGCCAACATCTGGTTTCCGTTTTGGTTTGTATCTCTACCAAGAAAAGAAGGGGCTAATATTCAATTATCAAGGATATTCCAAGTAATAATTACTTGTTTAAAAGAATTGTGAAGAACTTCAAAATTATACTCAAACATTCTCAGAGTTGACATTCCATGTTTTTCCTCTCAAGTATCTAATAATTATATGAAATATGACAGAAGTAAATTGAATCGGTGGCATGTGCAAGGCAGATGGGTGTTGTCTGTAGTTTTGACTAGAAGAATGAGAGAATAAAGAACTTTGATGCTCATGCGTTGCCCATAGTCATCATCACTAACCTATCTTTCAGTGTATTAACTATGCATGTTTTTTTTTTTCAAACTAGTCCCATTGCTGTACCATAACTAATATGTATGAAGCATCACGATTAGTCTTATTTACTCACTCATCAAACACACAAACATTGCTATATGCAAACATGTTGTAGACACACAGACATCTTCTCTGTTCAAGTTGAAGTTTTTTTTATGATAGCTGGCAATTCTAATTTTGTGGTGTGCTGTAGTGTTTCCTTGACGAACATCTACTATATGGTTCTTTTTATATGTTCTTTTTGCAGATGGTTTATGTTCTGTCTGTCTACAACAAGAAAGAAAAGTACCACCGAATTACTGTATGTACTGTTTTCTTCCCTTTTCTGCATTTTTTGATAAACATATCATTGTTATTGGGACTGTAGGAGGACATACATAAGTTAGGGGGAAATTCTATTTCCACACACTTAGTTACCTCTGTGCACACACTTAATGAAATATTATTTCAATGGCAATTACACCTAAGCTAAAATGACCATAATGGACAACCACCAACACTCATAATATTATATGAAAATATTCTCTGTACACATCTTTTAAAAACAAAAAAATCTCAATGTATACCTTTTGAGTAAAAAAAAATTAAACCCTAGTTTTTCCATTGTTGTCACTTTGCTTGCTACACGCTATATACTCCTCCATTGTTTACAAAACAATACTCTCATAACAACTCTCATATTGCTTTAATCTGTAGGTTTATACTCTATTAGTGATGAAAATGTTAGTTTTTTCATGCAGAACTTTATTATTTTATTTTATTTTCTTTTGCGGTTTTTAGTCGGACAACCAGTGTCGAATTATTTCATTATATTCGGACATCAATTGTTGAAAGTTTTTTTTATTTATTTTTTGAACAAATTTGTCGAACTAATCACTTTTATTCGGAAGTTAAGTTTTGAATTAAATGTATAATTTTGGAAAATTAGCGCTGAGATCCCCAAACCGAAAAACATTAAAAAAAAAAAAACGAGGGTTTTATGGCAGTGGAGTGCATAGAGATATGGAAATGATAAATGCAATAACAAAATAAAAATATGCCTTATCTTCAACAATATTTTGGATGGTTTTCAATGGTGTTTTCAATGGAGGTTTAATAGGGTCTTCAATAGAGGCCTTCAATGGGGGATTTTGTCTTCACTTTACCTTACACTGTGGTCCTGAATGGTATACATGTGGGTCTACAAATTTGGAAACTGGGTCACTCAACAAGTGTGTGAAAAGGAGTGTTGAGTGGTGTGTGTACAATGATTATTAGTGAAGGGTATAATTGTAACTTTTAGTGTGTGCATTGAGAAAATTAATTAATAATCAAATTAATAAGTGTGTGTACTGAGAGAAGATGTGCACTGAGGTAATTAAGTGTGCGAAAATAGAATTTTCCTAAGTTAGGAGGAAGGTGATGAACATGCAAGTTCTTTTGTTTTATTTATTTTTCTCATTATTAGTTAGTACATGTGGTGTAAATGGGAAATTGATGCATGCTATATGAAGCTCGAGGAAAAGTAAATTTAAATAAATGAATCTATTTGGAAATTGACATGTTTTAAAGAAGGGACCTATGGAAACCATACATAATCATATTTTATCCTTATGGGGTCTTGTCTTAACCTTATTTTTACATCTATGTTGGTGGTCTGTTTTTTATGTCAAGGGTATTTTAATTGTTTTGAAAATTGAAAAAAAGGAAACTAGTTCTTCCTCACTTTTGGCTCATAAAATGACAATCGAAACATGCGTGGCAAACACATGTTTACTGTTGACAGTTGTTGGTGATGTGGGCAAACTGTGGGTCTTGTGGGAATCATGGTTAGGCACTAAGATGTTGCTAGACCACCAGACAAGTAGAGATAGAGAGGGAGAGAGTTGAAACAACGAGTACAGAGAGAGTGGCAGTGAGGGAGGAGCCTTTAGACCTGTTGAAAGTGGAGAGGGTGGTCTTTGGGGTGTATATATTTTGTGTGGAGGTGGAGACATCCTTTTATAGGCGAGTTGGGCCATGAGGCCGCTGTGGGTAGGTGAGGTATGCCTTATGAGGTATCATAGTTTAGATGGAGCTAGTTTACAATTGGCAGTCATGCCAAGGAGTTGTAGTGGGTAGGTGTGGCTCTTGGGGTTTATATATTTTGAATGGAGAGGGTGGCTCTTGGGGTGTATATATTTTGGCTGGAGGTAGAGACCTTTTATAGGAGAGTTGGGCCATGAGGCCGTTGTGTAGTTGTGTACACCTTATGAGGGTATCATTGTGGGTAGATGGGGCCAATTCACCCTTGGGTTGGTGCGAAGGAGATGTAGTGGGTGGGTGTGGTACACTTTACAAGGTGTCAAAGTGAGTAGGTGTGATACACGTACACCTTATGAGCTGTCACATTCTCTTGTCTAAGACTAGTCAAAGTGGAGCCACCCCCTAGTGGGTGGGCAGAGCAGCTTTGATGATCACTTAGGTGTGGCTGCCAATTCACCACTCCCTAGTGATCTAGCTTGGGGTCATGGTGGGTCCCTTAGGTTCCCCATAACTAGATAGGGGTGCAACTTAGGCGAGTTTAGACGGGTTGAGAGGTTGTCTAAGCCCAATCCAAGTTGTGTTGAGAGCTGCCTAGGCCCGCCCAAGTCCGAATTGTAACCCAAGTTGTCTTCCGAAGCCCAACCCGAGTTGCCCAAATTGTTCGAAATGCACATAAATTTCAGTTTATTTATTTATTTATTTTATAGTGCAACTAAGTTAATTAATTTGTTAAAATTAGACTATATTTTGATTTTTTTTTTAAGAAAATCATTAATAACATCAAAACAAATAATTTATATAATGTTAGAGAGATGCAGCTATGATGGTCTTTACAATTTATGAGTGAGAAAAAATAAATATATATATATATATATTTTTGTATTGTGTTACTTGTATATATAATATATATTCAATATGATTTTTAGATCTGAATTATTTTAATATCATCTAGTGGTTAATAATTTATATGTATATTCAATATTTTTATGTGTATACATAATTTGGGCTTTGGGTTTCTCGGGTTATTTGATGTTTTTGCCCAAACCCACCCAAATTTAATTCGGGCTTTTGGATTTTTGTCCAAGCCCATACCGAATTCAAAATTATTTTGCCCAAGCCCTAAAAAATCTCGGGCTAAGCTTGGGTTGAGCTCGCCCAAGTTGCACCTCTATAACTAAGGCACCAACTTCGGAAGGTCCCCAAGCTTTGCTCCTAACCTATGTAGAGGTTCAAGTTGAAGTTCTGTGAAGTTTTGGCGTGGAAAGCAAACTGCCAAGCGGGCAAGGTTTGTAGTTGAGCGGGAGAGGTAGGGGTGAGGCGAGCCATTGAGGTGAGGTATGAGTGGTGCCTAGGCAAGCGAAGTGCCAAGGAAAAGTTCCTAGGTGATGATGTTGACGGCCATGTGAGACACTTGTACCCTATGAAGTACAAACACTTTAAAATAGGCACTATAGCAGTTTTGGGCACGGGAATACACTGGGGATATGGGGACACGCCAAATGGTGTGTCCTCTTAATTTTATTATTTTTTTTCGTAGGGGGCACGGGGGGACATGAAATTTTTTATTTATTTTTGTAGGGGATACGACAGGGATACACGTGTTCAAATATGGATAATCTATTAATTTGTTTAAATGTAGTGTTATATATATATTGAATTAATGTTAGTTTTTATTAATTTTGATTATTTAGTAACATAATATTAATCTACATAGCAAATATATGTAATAAAAATAATAATAATTTGCCGTGTCTGCCATCGTGTTCGTGTCTCCATTTTTTTGAAATCACCGTGTTCCATGTCCTTGTCCGTGTTTGTGTTCGTATCTGTGTCCGTGTTTCATAGCTTGTACCCACACATACATTCTAGAAGTGAGGGCTTTTTTGGGATAAAGTCATAATTTTCTTTTAATATAAATTTATAATTTCTGGTTTTCAGAAAAGCAACACAAAATAAGGAAAAAAAAGGCAACTAGATCGCCCTTGATTTTCACTTTTAACCAGTGTAATTCTATCTTTTATTTAGTTGAATATGAATGTATTCTTTTCTGTCTTCTGGAATGTATTTTTTTTCAGTTTCTGGAAACAGAAACAAATCTTGAAACAACAATGCAACTGAATGAACCTTGGTTGCACTATTTCACTGGCTTGTTTTTTTATAATTTATGATTCATGTACATGTTCGTACAAATTTTGATTAGAAGGTGTGACTACATATTTACAAAGTTTTAAAATTCGTCTGTTATGTTGCTTCTCAACATGTCTTTCAATATTAATGAGAAGACTAGTAATTAGGCTCCCTTCAAAATGGATGACGTAACATTAGATTCTGCATAATTAGAGAAGATCTTGTTGGTAGGAGGTAAAAGAAAGCAAGGAGGATCTGCATATATTTTTTCTTTCTTTTTTTCTTCTTTGGAAAAGAGACTGTAGATTCAATTCTTCTTTTAGAACTACCAAAAATTTGTCCGTGTGCACATATGTGATTTTTTTCTTGCCATCACACCTTTTGTTATGTGCCCTTCCTATTTCTTTGATCCTTTCTTTTCTTCTCTTTTTGCTTTACTTTTTTGAGTGTTCAATGGCAGCAGTGGTCTTTATGCTTTTAAGATATTAGCTGCCTTTATACCAAAGAATATGAGAGCAGGATGTATAGTTATTTTTTCTCTTGGTATGCTTAGAGCTTGCAGTCATTTGATATTACTTTGGGTCCTCTTGTTATAACTATCATGAAGTGACACTACCGTGAAATATCACGTTTAATTAACATTGTGTACCACCAAAAAAAAAAAACCTTACTGCAACCAGCAGGTGCCATTTCTAATAGTGGAAGCACTTTTTGTTGATATGATTGCTTTCCTGTGCTTTCTCCATCATCATGGTCTCTTTTCTTTCGTGATATATGTGTGTGTTTATATTTGCAAGCTGCTGTAAATTTATGGCATGGCAGATAAATTTTATTCATATTGGTTGTGTTTTTGTTCAGATGGCAGCATTTAACATTCAGGAGGCACTTATCTGGAAAGAGAAAATTGAACTTGTCATTGATCAGGTTTATTTTCTTGGACTGCATCTCAACTGAAGATGAAAAATATTTTCTTTTTGGTGACTAAAAAAAAAAAAAAAGAGAAGAAAATAATAAGGGGAAAATATGTGTTTTGTTCTCTGCACATATCAGCTCATAATTCTCTTTGAAATTGTTGCTTCGCTTACATTGTATTACTTCAAAGAAAAGACAATTTTTTGGTGAACTATAGAATGGTTGCATAACCCTTTTGTGAACTCTTTTGCAATTTTGGTTTACATATTTATTTAGATGACACCTGATTGTTAGTTCTGCATATGGTATAGTTTTGTAATCCTCTTTTCATTTTGTAAATGCATACACCTGGAACTGATTACAAAAGATGCAGCATCAGGGGTCACAAGTTCCCAATGGTAACAAATATGTATCTTTTGAATACAAATCTGGAATTGACAATGGGAGGAAATCTTCCTCATCAGATCGCGAAAGTCAGTAAGTGTCCAATTTACTTATTTGTTAGTGGTTACTATGTTGATGCTAGTGTAAATATATTCATGAAAAATACGTGCACTTTGTTGTAGACTTATTTTCTCTTCCCTTTACGGCTGCTGGCCATTTTTTACCCGTTGACTATGATAAAGGTGGTTTAGTCATGTACAATGACAATATATAGACGCAAAGGTAAGGAAGAGTGATATGATTACCATTAATGGAAATGTTGGGGGGAGGGGAAGACCTAAACTAACATGATACGAATTTATTTAATTTAAATGAGCATATAGCCGTTGACAAAGCAGAATAGCGAAGAAGGATTTATGTAGCCGACGCCAACCCCACTTAAGTGAGTCACAAGGCTTAGTTTGGTTTGGATGAAGTACCTGATCTGGATATTACCCTTTTTATTTTTATTTATGTTATAGACTTAAACTGTGTTTCTTTTTGATTATTTGTATCTTTTGAATTCTCTAGGTTTAGTGCCCCCGAGGATGAAGATGATTCTCATCCAAATTTGTTGCGGAGAACAACAATTGGAAATGGTTGCTTTTGGTTTCATTCATTTATCGGCTTCTGTATTATTTGTTGTAATCCTTGGCTGCATTTTATATCAATGTTCCTTTGTAGGTCCTCCTGAATCTATATTTGACTGGACAACGGAACTAGACTCGGACTTGTCAAACCAGAATGCCAACAATCAAGCATTCTCTAGAAAACAGTGGCGTCTTCTTCAATGCCAAAATGGTTAGTTAATTTTCATAGTTCTGTTATTTCACAGTTCGACACTTGGATGACTCTCATAATAAGTTAATCAAGGAGAATGTTTTGATAATTTAGCTACTGACAATGTTGTAGCGGCGTCAATGACTCATTGAAAATTTATTTTTAATTTGGTTAATTGCAGGACTGCGCATTTTTGAAGAGCCTCTTGAAGTCGATTTCCTTGTATGGAATTGTTTTTTTAATTTTTTATTTTAAATTTGCTGTGTGCATAGCATGATGTAGCTATGCAGTCTGTTTTTTCAGGGCATACGTGCCTTACACAGTATGCCTTACACAGTTTTCTTTATGCAGCCGAAAAGCTGTAGTAGAGCAATGAAGGCTGTAGGGGTTGTGGAGGCTACCTGTGAAGAAGTATTTGAGCTTGTGATGAGCATGAATGCAACACGGTTTGAGTGAGTACTCTTTTGTTAGTTTTAAGGTTTTGACAGAGTAATTCTAGATTTTTATTCATAAAAAAAAGAGTAATTCAAAATGGTGCTTTTAGTTGTATCTAACTGAACTAATTTATCATTTTTATCAATATTTGGCAAGCTTCCACGGTGTATGTGTTTGTTTTCATTTTGGATAGGAAGATGTTTGTCTTTAAAGAAAAAAAAAAAATCTTTGTAGCATATTTAATTTGAAAAAAATATTTTGACTGTTGAACTGTAATATGTCCTGGTACCCTACAATGGGTTGATGATTTCATATTTAGATGTGTTGCAGTCAATGCCCATATATTAGCGCATTCAATTTGACATCTTGTGCCTCCAGAGCTTTTTGAGTCCAAAAGGAGCCCAAGAGTGTCCCCAATTAGCCCTTTGAAAATTTGATATTATTTATTCTCTCTATATTTCTATTCTTGATTTTCATGCTATGGTATTCTTTGATGTGTTATGTAGGTGGGACTGCAGTTTCCAGGACGGTCGCTTAGTGGAGGAGGTAGATGGACATACTGCCATACTGTATCAAAAACTACAGCTGGACTGGTTTCCAATGTAATACCATCTTAAGTTATTTTGTTCAAACTTATAATGTGTTTTATGTGTGTTTTAAGTGATGGATATGTGTGCCCCCTTGTGTCTGAGTCAAAAAAAATAAAAATAAATAAATAAATAAAATAAAAGAAGAAAAAGAAAAAAAAATTCAGTCCAGAAATGTCCAATGAGTGTTTGTGTCTAACATGTGTCGGATAAGACATGGACAAACTACCTTCATCGAAGTGTCCCTACCCTCAAATCTTCACTCCAGCACTGAAGAACACACACCAGTGTATTTTCTATTCAGATGTTGTGTTTAATGGCCTGTAACATCCCCAAAACTTCTTCTCTATTCATCTATTGGCAACCCTACAATCTTACACCATACATACGCCTGTGAATACCTTAAACCTCTGTTTCCTTTGTTAAACTTGTATTCACAGATAAATTATTTAAAATGAGTACTGTATTACATTTTTAACAATTTCCTACACTAATTTTGGTTTCAGAGCTAGTAGGAGACGTAAGTAACTCACAGTGCTCCACACGGGGGAAATGAAAGCAGAATTCATGTTTCATCACACTTCTGCTACATCACTTATATTTTTAGCAGTCAATCTGCTCATATTATTAATTAAAAATGTTTCAGATGTTTGTGTCTGTGTACTCTATATGATGACATGGTTGCAAGGGTTTTACAATTGCAATACTGTATAGACACTCTTTTAGAGCTAGTAGGAGATTATGTTATTGCACTTCTCCTGTGTCACATATCTTTGTAACATTCAAGCTGCTAGTTTTATTGATGTAAAAATGTCTTTGATGTTTGCATTTGTGTCTTTCTATTAAATAGATGTAAGGGTTTTACAATTGCAATGCTTTGGAATTTTTTTCTTTTCAAATTATTGGTTATTAGACTACCAAGAAGGTCCAATATCTTTCTTTGTTTTTTTTTATTATTTTATTTTGTTGAAAGAGAATGATATGGATACCGGTGGGTGCTTGTTGCAGGTTTGTGTGGCCCCGCGATCTTTGTTATGTGCGTTATTGGCGCCGAAATGATGATGGAAGTTATGGTAAATGTGTCCGATGCCCTTTCTTGTTCACCTTAACTTTTTTTCTTCCTTTTTCACCCTCAATTTAAAATTGTCCTTGATTTTATCTTTGTTACTGTGCAGTTGTATTATTTTGTTCTAGGGAGCATGAGAACTGTTCTCCACAACCTGGATTTGTGCGCGCCCATATTGAGAGTAACTTCCAAATTGTTATTTGTTTGTTTTAGGCTGTATAGAAAAAAAAATCTTTTATTTTCTTTGTTTTATTATCATTTATGATTTATCTATATATATATATATATATTTTGTTTCTATGTGATAGCCATATTAAGCAACTCACCATTTGTATGTACGTATTGTGATATTTTCAGGTGGAGGGTTCAATATTTCCCCGCTGAAACCTCGAAATGGGAGGCCTAGAACACAGGTACAGCACCTTATTCAAATTGATCTGAAAGGGTGGGGCGTAGGTTACATTTCGGCATTTCAGCAACATTGTCTCCTTCAGATGTTAAATAGTGTTGCAGGTGAGTTCTTATATTGAGTTATTGCTTGTTGGAGTTTGGATTGTCATTCAGATTTATTGTTGTGATGGTCTGCACTGCTTCTTGAGGTTGTTTTGGTTGTGAAGTGAGGAGATATGAATCTTGGAAATGTATCAAGGGTTGCTATGAAATGGTCTTGCAACGACACAAGTTTTTTTTTTTTTCATTGATCAAATGGGTAATTAGAGTTTTATATGGAATAAATGGTTTAACTTTTTAAGATATTTTGGTTTTGCATTCACAAATTTGAGGGAATCTCTTGGTCAATTATACTGCAGATGAATAATAAAGCTCAAGAAATGATGCAACTATTCCTTATCTTTTGTTGATTCTCCATTTGTATCTCTAGATATACTTAAGTTTAGATTTATGTTTTTGGTTGATGTGTTGAAAAGTTTTTCTTTGTTAACCTCCTTATTAATTGGCATTATCTTTTCCAGGATTTTTTTTTTTTTTTGGTTTGCAATATGGATTTCCTTTTGTTCTTCTGGATTTATTTTCTGTTTGCATCATGTATTTTCTTATGAAATTGATGAAACTATGTATGTGTCTATGGTGAAAAGGTATATTGTCTTTGTCACCTTTCAATTTCAGATTTGTTGTCTGAAAATCAACTCTTTCAAAATGAATTCTCTTTTCCACTATATTAAGAGCTATTTTTGTTTCTTTTTTATTACAGGACTTCGTGAATATTTTTCTCAAACAGATGAAAGGTGTGCTCCTCCAAGAATCCCAGTTATGTTAAATATGACTTCAGCCTCTGTTTCTTCAAAGAAGAGTCAAAAGCTCCAGGCATCCTCTGTTCACCGTAGTCCTTCTCAAGATCAAATTAATGCTGCACACAAAAATGCGGTGATGATGGATGAATACTCTGATGATGATGATGAATTCCAAATAACTGACCAAGAGGTTTGCACTGTAACTGTGCTATATAATGATTTTTGTGTCCTTCTGAACTTTTTTTTTGCAAAATTTTCAGGTAGGCTCAACCAGCCTTCAGAGTGAAGTCAAGAAAACTGGTAGATGATGAATAAGTTTTTTGTTTTTTTCACGTGTCATTAAACCCTTGATTTCAAATCAAGTGGGGCTTCTACTGACGATAATTATTTTGCACTCAGCTTTAGAGGAAGAATGCACTGATCAAATTGATTTGTCCTGTTTCTCGGGAAACCTACGACATGATGACCGGGATAATGGTCGTGACTGCTGGAAAGTATCTGATGGAAACAACTTTAGAGTTCGTAGCAAGAATTTTTGTTATGATAAATCAAAGGTCTGCTAATCTATTGCTTATTTTCTTCATTTATGTGCAATATTATGACCCTTTTAGGCTTGCTCTAATTTTGTTGTTTCAATGTCTATCTGAAGATTCCTGCAGGTAAGCATCTGATGGATCTTGTCGCTGTTGATTGGTTCAAAGACACAAAAAGAATGGACCACGTTGCTAGGCGCCGTGGTTGTGCCGCACAAGTAAGTATTATTGGCATGTTTTTGTCTCTCATATGGTATTTTCTGGTTCTCTTTTTTTTTTCCCCCCTTATTTCTTTCATCATTTTCCACTTGACACCCTTCACTTGATGGTTAACTTCTTTTCATAGTACCGTGATTGTGTCTAACCTCCAAACTTGTATTCTAGATAAATTGTCAACTGTATGAAAGGTTGTCCAAGTCGGGATTTTAGGTTGGATCAAGGATCGTCAAATCCTACCAAAAAATAAATAGTGCATAATAATCTCTGCATGGATAAACATTTCTCTGGGTATACAGAAATAAGCCTAAATTATACAAACAAGAAGTGAAGATATAATGAACTTTGTGAAGATATACATTATATAGTAGAAAGGTCCGTGGTAAAGTTTTGTACTTAATTGAAAACAAAAGAGAGAAGAAGAGTTTTGTAATAGAGAACTTTTTAGTGGCAGGATCAAAAAGAAAGAACTGAAAAAGTCAATGGAGTTGGATTTGGAAATATATGAAAATTGAAAACAAAGAAATAAAATAGAAAATGAACTCTATAAAAAATGTCAGGGTTTGGGAGAGGTACTAAACATAAAGAGGATTGTACAAGAGGTCTTTAGTTTAGTGTACAATTTTGACTTAAAAAAAGGGAGCTGAACATAAATAGAAAGGAATACTCATGATAAAAAAAAAAGAAAAGAAAACAAATAAAATCTTGGGCTATTTGAGTAAATGGAGAAAAGGAAAAAAAAGAAAGAAAGTAGCCAAATCATTAAGAACACAATGAGAGAGAGAGTACAGCAGCCTTGGACTCTACTTTGGCACCATGGTTCTTATCATCCTTTTTATCCCGACATATATATAATCTAGGAAATAGTCGTAGAGTCAAGTACCATAATCTCATCTCCTGCGAGTAGAATCTCTTCTCCATCCAGCTTGTTGCTGTTATGTGAAGCCAGAGTGAGTTGGATATAGGCCAGTTTTAAATGAACTAGTGACCACTTGCTTAAACAATTCTTGGCAAAGTTTCAGAGAGTTTCCTAAGCTTGCTTGAGCTATGTATTTTAGATTGTACATGTGATGTAGAACACCATAGCGAAGAGAAGAAGAGAGAAAAAGGCCACAACCCAACACAAACATCCACAATCTTAATCACTCAATATTATTCTAAAGCTGAATAATACAATGGAAAGCCTAATATTTATAGGCCATTAATCCTAGTTGAAATCAGGAAATCAAATCTTCAAAGAAAAGGAAAACAAATAAATAAATCTCCTAATTAAAACAAGATTTCTAATAAACTGTAATTAAAAATAAAATAAAATACTAAATAATAAAGACATAAATAAAAATATAAAATTCTAAATAAAATATCCATGCCAAAGTTGTTAACACGTTCTGCATTAACATGCGTGGAATCTCTGTATGTGATAAGTTTGTTATCTGCTTTATTATGCTGCTGTGTATTAGTGAACCTTATTTGTGAATTTCTGTACAGGTTGCTTCGGACAAAGGATTTTTCTCAATAGTTCTAAATCTGCAAGTGAGTTGTTCATATAGCAGATTTAAAATATTTAACTTTAGGCATCTGGAGTCTGGAAGAGAAATAACATTGTATTTTTACAGGTACCTGGTTCGACAACCTATAGTATGGTTTTTTATTTTGTGACAAAGGAAATAGTACCTGGATCTCTCTTGCAAAGGTTTGTAGATGGTGATGATGAGTTCCGTACTAGTAGACTGAAGATCATCCCGTCAGTTCCTAAGGTATGTCTAGATCTTTTTTAATTTATGAGGGGTGATGCTTAAGATGTGAGTGTTGGAACTTGGAAGCAATCCTTATTTCCAAATCCTATCTGTGTGGTCCAGTAATGAATGTTTCATGAAGTTTTGTGTGAATGTCTTCCTTGCACAGCTTTTTTCCATGATTACAGAATTGACTTATTTTTGTGATATAATCTCAAAACCATTGTAGGGTAATTTGGTTTTCTGGGAATGTAGACGCTTTTCAACAGCATATGATATTTAAGAAAGAATGCTATTCCAATTCGATAATTGTAGTGTGACAGAAAAACACAGAATAACTACTTTCTGGAAAATTGTATGGTTGATAGATTGGTACACCTTTTGTTATCTGAATTGGTTGGAATTAAGCTATGCCAGCCAAACTTGATATTTGGGTCTCAGACATTGTAGACTGCAGCCAACCTTCATCATTGAAGTGCCCTAGTTGTAATTTGCATTCTTGCTGTCCCAAACTTGATGTGCAGCCTTAGGATCACTAATCGATGGGCTCCTAATCCACGGCAGGCCTAACAAACAACTCATGCAATGCCACAAGTGATGTGATGCCTCATGAGCATATGCAATTTTAGGATTTACTAATGTTTGTGTAGAAATATACACGTACAAATCCAATGTTCATCGTAAATGACAACAAATTTTCCCCTAGTTTTTATGACTTCATGATGTAGTATGTTGCTGTCATTCTTTGGGGTGTTCTTATTAGTTTTCTCTGTTGTTTTTCTGCCTTTTTGACTTCATTACCTCGTAGATTCGTTTCTGACTCTAATGTGTCTATCATGTAGGGCTCATGGATTGTGCGCCAGAGTGTTGGAAGCACCCCTTGTTTGTTGGCAAAAGCAATTGATTGCAACTATATCCGTGGTCCCAAGTACTTGGAAGTAAGATCCTTCTTCCTTCTTTAGCACTGGAATTATTTACCTATAGTAATGGTTGACTGATCCTGAGTACTAGATCTTAGTTTTAACCTTTTTGTTTTTTATGGGCATAGATTGATGTTGACATAGGTTCTTCTACTGTGGCTAATGGAGTTTTGGGGCTTGTAATTGGTGTAATGACTACATTGGTGGTTGACATGGCTTTCCTTGTACAGGTATGTATATCTTAATTAGTGAGATCGCCTTACTTTGTCTTGAACATAATTTTTTTTTTTAAATAGAAATCATAGGTTGTTATACTTCAAATATTTGGTAGGATGGTGTTACCAGTGACATAGACATGCATTGACTATTCTACCCTTTTGTCCCCTGAGATCTACTTTTCGCAAGGACCTCACATTTCTTGCCCTTTGATTCTGCATCATTTGCGAAGCGAAAAATCAAAGTCTTTTCCCAGGAGAACCACCAAATATTGGTTATTTCCAGTTTTGCGTGATGGAATTACAGTGGAAAGGAATCACAAAGATGGACTCTCAGTCTTCCCTATTCTGATATTCCCCTGCCCATCTCATATTGTTATAGATCATGCCAAAAGATAATTTTGTAATCCTGGAGATGGTGGAGAGTAGTTCAATTCATGAGTCAATTTCAGTCTTTTTAAGGCTCACCTAATTGACTCATTAAGTGATATAATTTGGTTTGTCATGGTTGGTAGGTACTCTAGAAACTAGGGAGATAATCAGGTTACCCGGGCCTTTGTGTCACAATATCTTTTATAATTTCCAGGATTGATTTACATTGGAATAGATAGTTCATGTTATTTAACTTCAGCTTACGGAGTGGTTTGCATTTGTTTTTATTCACAGGCAAACACCCCGAATGAGTTACCAGAGAAACTAATAGGTGCAGTCCGTTTGTCTCACATAGAGCTGTCATCTGCGATAGTCCCGAAACTTGATGCAGATCCTTCAGACTCAGTCAAACCGTGAACTCCAGAGGTTGACGGAATATTATTAGTTTAAATGTGCATTTTTTAGTTATCAATTTTAACCAAAATTCATTTGTTTCATTGTCAATATTTTCAAAGGCGAATTTTACATGGAAGTCGCAATAGCAGGCGGCTTGTTGGTTTGTTTGTTTTGTTTTGTTTTTTTTCTTTCTTTCTTTCTTCTTTTGTAGTCTTACGATTTCTGAAAAACACAAGATGAGGTTGAGTATATATATATTTCTACATTTTCTCATGTTCAGGTAAAGCCGTCACTGCTTTTGTTTCCACGTATTTTGGTTATAGCCTGGCCATTGTGTGCGATTGTTTAGTCTGGGAGAAGTGTACTATGTTGGCTATTGAATATGACTATATTGCTTGCCATCTTGAAGTGGGTTTGAGATGCAATTGGTCCATAATTGAATCTTGTTGGATCTGTATGTTGGCTATTGAAAATATTTCCAATATGCAGAATATGAATGAGATGCCTGTTTGGTTGTGTTTTTGTTTTTGTGTTTTTAGAAATAAAAATAAGAAAAAAGTTTTAAAACAGTTTGTGGAACTTTATTAGGCAGTGCTGGGTTCTAGTCTTCAAGGGCTTGGAATTTGAAATATATAGGGTCTGTTTGGTAACGTTTACGTTTTCAGTTTATATTTATAAAAGTTTTATAAATTGATTTTTGTTTATTTTTAGAGAAACATAAATACAAACGCTTTTGGTAATTGACAAAATGTTTAAAAAAATTTAAAAATATAAAAAAGAATGAGAAATGACAAGTGGCGGTGAAAGACGGTGGTGGAAAGTGGTGACGGTGGGTGGTGGGTAACGGTGGCGGGTGGGTGGTAGCGAGGAGTGGGTGGTGGTGGTGGTGATGGGGGTGGCAGGTGGGTGGTAGTGGCAGGGGGGGAGGGGGGGGGACAGGGGGGGGGGGGGGAAGCTGGTCTACACCCTTGTTCCACCCTCCAGACAAAGGGTAACAAGGTTTGGTTCAAAAACAAACCAAAAAGGAAGAAAGACAAGAGTCCGCAGGACAAGGCACTCAGCCGGAAGCCCCGTTTTTTCCCTCAACTTTTTAGTCCAAAAAGATAAAAAATGCACTTATTTAAAACACTCCAAACAACTCCTAAGTATTAAAATTTTAATATTGTTTAATTTTTTTAAATTTAAAAAGTTATTTGACAAGGTAAAAAAATTGTGTGGTGGTGGTAGGTGGGTGGCGAGTGGGTGGTAGGTGGTGGTAGTGGTTGGGGTGGTGGGTGGTGGTGGCTTGTGGGTAGCAGGTGGCTGTGGCTGGTGGCTGATGGTGGCGGAGTGGTGGCAGGTAAGTGGCGGGTGGTGGTGATGGTGGTGGTGAGAGGGGCAAGTGGGTGGCGAGTGGGTGGTGGGTGGTAGGTGGTGGTGGCGGGTCGGTGGCAGGTGGCTGGTGGTGGATGATGGTAGCAGGTGGGTGGTGAGTGGTGGTGGCAAGTAGGTGGCGGGTGGCGGCGGCGGCGGACGGTGGATGGTAGTGGCGGGTGGTGGCGGGTGGATGACAGGTGGATGGTGGTGGTGGTGGTGGCGGGGAGTGGGTGGTGGTGGCGGGTGGTGGGTGGTGGTTGGTAGTGGTGGCAGGTAGGTGATGAGTGATGGTGGTAGGGGGTGGGTGATGGGTGGTGGTGGCGGAAGACGGTGGTAGAAAATGGTGACAGGTAGTGACTAATGTTGGGTGGTAAAAAAAAAAAAATCGGCACCGTAGTATTGCCAGAGTATTCATTTTCATGTTTGATTTGATTAAATAAAGAGAATACATATTCCCAATAAAATCATCATTTCACAAATCGACACGTACAATTCGTTTAAAATGATTTCAACAAACAAAACACAAACTAATATTTCAATCTACTCAGCTTCCATTACAAATGGCCCAACATCGTTTTAGTTCTTAATATTTTGTTGGTTAATAAAATCCCTAAAAGCATCCAAAGAAGCTACCGAGCTTGCCGGAAAACCGTCTTCAAATTTGGCACCCAACCTAGCTGCCTGAACTCTAATTTCCTCATCACTTATCACCCTCTCTATTCCATTCACTATATCATCTTTCTTCACCATATCAGCTGGGTACCCCTCAGATACCACAATCCAAACCTTGAGATGGTCTACCACCAACTTGGCATTATAGTATTGGTCACCCCTAATGGGCCATGCCAAAAGTGGGACTCCTCGCCCGATCGCTTCCACCGTCGAATTCCACCCACAATGTGATAGAAATCCACCCGTTGATTGGTGACTCAGTATCAACAGTTGTGGTGCCCATCCGTGTATTATCAATCCTCTTTTACCGACCCGGTTGTCCAACCCATGAGGAAAATAGCCTTCATCACTTGTTAAACTGCCTGGACCCAGTTGACCCACAAAAGGTGGTCCGGGTCTGCCCGGTGATTTTTGGATGACCCATATGAATGGCCACTTTGACTCTTCCAATGCATTAGCTAGCTCCGGATATTCCTCCATGCTAGGACCCACTTCACTGCCAAATGACACGTAGAACACCGATCCACGTGGCTTTGAATCTAGCCATTCAATTATTTGGTCCTCAGTGTAGTTTGAGTCACGCTTGGGTCAGATCTCCCTGTCCCTAAGAATAGAATCCGCGGATCTCCAATACCCGTCTGGCAATAGCGGTCCAACACCCCAAACTGATTTTCCAGTCAAGTTCGCCACATAGTCAAGAAATGAACGCTCCAGATCATCACAAGTGTTAATCAGGATTGCAATTGACCGCTCCACTTCGGCCACCCATCCGGCCGGTTCACCCGGAAAAGGTGGACCCCAAGGTCTTTTTGACCCACCTCCATCCGAACCAGCTCCATGGGGTGGAAGACCCATCCAATGACGGCGTTGCTTAAGATCCGAATACTTAAGCACCATCTCTTCGGGTAATCCAGAAAGCAATCGGACCTCACCGGGTTTCATATCATTGGGCTGGGCCTTCCACACAGCATGTTGCATTGCGGCCCAACACGCCCCAGATGTTATGAAAGTAACCGTGGGAACACCGAATCTACCGAACACTTGTTGGCCATGTTTGATTCACAACACTAATAGTGAGGTATTAATAATCCTATTAAATTAGTGTGGTATTAGTTATCCCACCCCTACCCCATTACTAATAATCCTACAAATTTGTTGGATTAATTATCCATTGGATTAATAATCCTAAACCAAAATGTCAAAACAAACATAGGATGATTGGGCCCACGGATTAATAATCCCAATCCTATGCTTTAATCCTTTCAATCAAACATGCCCGTTGGGTCTTGAATTGGATGTGGTCTATTATGGCACAGATGGGCCGGATCGGATCTACAGATTCAGTTTTCCGGGTCAAGAGTTCGTCGAGGCCGGAGAGCATGTGTTGTTCTTGGTGGTGGAATGGGTCAGGTCGTGGCGGAGATGAGGAGATGTTTGCGATTTCGAAAAGAGGAGATTGGAGGAGGGAGGTAGGAAGAGAGGAGGAGATGTCGGAGTCGATGACGAGGGTAATTTTGTAATTTCGAGAGACGAGGTGCTTGCATAGTTCCATACAAGGGAAGAGATGGCCCTGCCCATTCTTGGGAACCACCAAGATCTCACCTGACATTTCTCTCTCTCTCTCTGTGTCTCTCTAAAGAGAAGGAAGGAAGGAATGGGTTTAAAAGATGGAGAATTTGAAAAACAGTTTTATGGGTAGTAGGGCTGTTGCTTTTGAAGTAGAGGTAAGGACTGTTTGGTGTGATAATAATAATAGTGTGTTTGGTTTGAGTTTTTTGAATTAAAATTTTTTAAAAATTGAGTTTTTTGATTTTCGTATTTTTTTGTTTTTAGTGAATATTTTAAAATTTTCAAATATTTTTTTTTATTTTTTTAGATGCATCTTACTTAGATGTATTTAAAAAGTAAAAAAATTATGAAAAAATATTTTTAAAAATTAATAAATACATAAAAATATAAAAAATCTACTAAATTTTCGTATTTTTTTTGTATTTTTGGTATTTAATGAATTTTTAAAATATTTTTTTTAATTTTTTTTAATTTTTTAGGTATATTTATGTTAGGTATGTCTAAAAATTAAAAAAATTGTTCAAAATATTAAAAAAATTCAATAAAATAAAAAAACACGAAAAATAAAATTTTTTAAAAGTATTTTTAAAAAATAATAACCAAAATGATGTATAGAATATCATCCATATCAGTGTTCACATGCATTTTTCCATAGATAAAGACATTTGTGGGTAATAAATTGTGGAATAACAAATCTGAAAATTTTCCATCTTCATAAGTGTTTTTACTGTCACGGCTGCCTCGTGGTTAGGGCGGTAAATGATCAGAACCGATCATACATAGATACGTTTGAGTTGGACTTGATAACAACTTTTTCAAACTTTGTTGGTTATGTTATTTTATTTTATTTTATCTTTGCGTCAAGTGTAAATTTATTAAATTTTTAATAAATGAGTCCAAATATTTTATAGCTCTACTAGTTTAATGTTTATTATTTATATATTAAATAATGTAAAAATATATATAAAATAAAATAAATATGTTATTTATATATTTAAAAAATATAAATGTAAATAATAATTAACTATAGATAGTACATCTATATAATAGTGGTAATAGATATTATAGCAATTCTGGTTTGGACCCGACCCATTTGAAATTTTGGATCTGGGTTCGTTGTCATATATAGTTATTCGTATCTTATTTCCCTTAATCTCTCTTGGAGTTTGGCTTTTAGAATGTGTTGATTGTGTTTAGAATAGATTGGTAGCTCGTTTTTCAAACTTTTGTTGTCTAGAATTTTGTTCCTCCGCTAGAGCGTCACTTCTTGCATTTGAGCGGTGTAGGGCTATTGTATTCGAAAGGAACACGAAAAGCAAGCTATAGTTTCAAAATTGAGGTTTCCTGCTGGAGAAATCGAGTATTTGCATAGTGTATAAATTCATCATTGGGTGATCAATCGGAGGCGCCCAAGTCTTAAGGGCGGTCAAAAATGAGGTGTATGATGCTTCATAGCTCGAGTTTTTTGAGGCTCGAGTGGCCCGAGAAATTTTTTCTCTCTCATCTATTTGTTTCCTCTCTTGTTCTCTTTTCTCTATCTCTATTCTTTAAACACTCATTCAAAAATATTTTTGGGTGAAACTCTCTCTCTTCTTCACTCCAAAAGCCTCCTATTTCTCCGACACCCACAATTCGGATCACCGTTGGAGTCCACGACGAGGCAAGGCGAGCTCCATCATTAA